GGTTAGGGGAAAAGGGGTGGGTGGGAGGGCAGAGCCCAAAAATCCAGGGGCAAGGGAACAGCAAGAGATCTAAACTCCATGGTGAGGAAGGTATAGAATGACTAGTGCGGTTTGAACAAGTGCAATGTAGCCCAGAGGAATTACTAAGAGCTGAATGAAGGTCAAACATGACAGTAAGACAAGGGGAAAATAATAGGAAATAGAGGAAAGAACTAGGAAGCAAAAGACATTTATAGAGGTATAGAAGTATAAATATAGGAGTGTATATGTGTAAATATTTTACTATATAATGATACATATATTTATATGGTAAGTATCAAGGTAGCAGATGGACACTGGGCCTCTACTCAAGTCCTCCCTCAACACAAGAACACTTTGTTCTAATAACCTGGCATTCGGTGATGCTCACCTTCCCCAAATGATCGCTGAAGTAAAAATGCATGCATAAGCAAATGTTATGAAGAAAGCTGATGGTGCCTGGCTATTAGAAAATACAGTGTCTTGGGACTTAAAGACTTGAAGTTAAATAAGTGGCCATCTAGCAGTGGATCAACAAATCCCACATGGAGGAAGCACACTAGCCTGTGTAATCATGAGGTGTCAACGGGTTCAGGTATCAGACATCAGAAGACCCAAAGAAAACAATCATATCAATGTGGATGAGGAAGGTCAGAGTGGAGACCCAAAGCCCATCTATTGACAATGGGACATCCCCTCACAGAAGGGTCACAAGGAAGGGATGAGTCAGCCAGGGTGCAGTGTAGCACCAATGAACACACAACATTCCTCTAGGTCATTCATGCTTCCTCGCCCACTATCATGACCCCAGTTCTACCTTACCAATCTGGCCAGACCAGAGCACGTACACCAGGACAGATAAGAACTCTCAACACACGGAATCCAAGACAGATAACCCCCTCAGGAACAATTATGGAGTAATGGTACCAGGAGGGTAGGGGGTGATAGGGGAAATAGGGGAGAAAAGGGGAACTGACCGCAATGATTGATCTATAATCCCCTCCCTCCTGAGGGGGACGAACAATAGAAATGTGAGTGAAGGGAGACAGCAGATGGAGTAAGATATGAAAATAATAATAATTTATAATTTATCAAGGA